TTTGTTGATCCACTGCAGAACCAAAAGTCTTAGTTTAACGCAAATGCGTAAACTTTATTGCATCGGTTACATTCAGCATGCAATATAATATTGGGGGAACCTTTTGATTTGGGAATGTCATAAATGGCTCAACTGAAAAAAACTTTCTTTCATAATATATGAATATAACCACGTACATAATGAAATAATCTTATAAATAACTATATAAAATTAAGATAAACGAAAAACAACTCTAAAAAAGCAAGTTTCATGACTCAACGCAAAATAGGTTCTCTAAATTAAACAACTGGAAATACTTTTCAATAATGATAGATTCTTTTCTTGTTTGATTTTGAACTGAAACGCGAAATGCATAATAGATTTTATAAGCATTAATAAAACACAAGAATAATCAACTATACATCAACAGAGCAGTCTACAAAACAGATTTACTCAGCAGCTATATGCTTGAGATATTGATCGAAGTATCGAAACAAGTTCGATCCATCCCGATGGGAGAAGGTGATAACAAGCATTTTGAGAAAGAAATATTTATCGTGCTCACCGGGCAGTAAATTGTTTATCTCCCTTATACTTCCTTGAAGAACACATGGTAGTACCATTTTTCATTTGCCTAATGCGATGCCTTGCCACCAGCAGGGAGTGTTGTATTTTGGAAGGCATGGTAATAATAGCTGCAACTACTGGGCATTTTGTTTGCTTCGTATGAACTGTATTCATTTACGCTCCTCAGAAAAATGAGGCCTAAATTTTTAGGGATTCGAACCCGTGATTTACTAACAATAACTTCAGCATTTTATTAACCAAGCACAATATCAATTATCATAAAAGTAAAATGCTATCTACTGAACTGACAGTAAAAAAGTAACTGCCACAATTATAAACGAATAGGGAAAAAAAGTTTGACACCAGAGGAGCTTCAGTCTTCCTTTACTTTCACGAATGGGCCCTTTTGGCGCCCTTCTTTTCATGACGTTCATGGCTCGATGCTGATCTCTGTTTCTATGCCATCAGTCAGGAATACTTATTTTTCAAAGGCACAGTTTACAGATAAGCCGCAAGCATAACGTGTAGTCTTTTGCTTCCTTGCCAGAGTGGTACTAATTTTCAGCCTCAGAAGAAATGGCCGGTGACCCTGACCAGGGTTTGAATGAGATATATCGGTTGTGAGCTCGACGCTTTACCGACTGCGTAACTACGGTCTCTGAAGCAATGTTCGGTAAATTCCTTGCTGAAGCTAGTTCGCGAATAAGACAAAGACAATAAGTGAAATCGAACCGAGCACTTCTAGACTTCTAAGCATAAATCTTAGACACCGCGCCAACACGTCAGAAGGCGAATAACTCATATTTTGGACATCTGTAAAAGGTCTAAAACACAGCTACCGCCAAGTGAACAACCAGAAAGATACTAGTAAACCTCGAGATCTTCGTTCAAAACAGGACATTGTTGTCATCTTATCCTCGTAACAGATCAGCTAATCGAAGTACAGCCGACAAATACAGTAAACTATAGTTCCACGGGTAAAAATCAATCAGGAGGTAAGGAGAGTGAACCTGAGCAATGAAATAGGGAAGAACCATGTTAGCGTCTTATTCAAATACACGCTCTTAACCACTACCCTAAAAATATAAGACGGTACTGAATGCGAACCCGAAGTTAAAACTGTAGTTGTTTTGTTGACTACTGGCCCAGGATACCAAAAAACTCGAGAGTATATTTTTATACTAATGTCTGCTATCATCTTAAATTTTTTTCTTCGTGATGTGACTAGATCCACTGGTTTTGTTTAATGGTGTTAATCGAGGGGCAAGACAGCTACTGCTAGTAGTAAAAACTATAGATACAAGCCGTTTTAAACCAACCTATAGAATAACAGGCCTATACTAAGAAAAAATATACTGCATGAAAAAATTTCAGGACAAGGTCTAAGGGTGGTCATTATTAATCCTCTCATTTACAACGAGAGTAATATATAACAAACTCTTGGGATTCCCATTAAGAAAAGTAACCCTTGGTAATTTAGAAGTACTGCACAGCCTACCCTAAATAGTACTTATGGCCCTTAATAACCGTAGCTGGTCTACTGATTCACGAGCGAGAACAAAAAATAGTCGACGGCACCTGTTTCGTTCCCATAACTCTGATTCAATATGGCAGCTGAGGTCAAAGCAACAAACTCAGAATCGCAAACGTCAAATGGTAACTAACCTACGATTCTATATGCTTATCCTAGCAGCACAAGAAATACTTTGTTTGTCGAAACGAGAAAATCATGAACAAAATTATTTAAAGGTTTTCAGAAAGTTGTACATCTCCAGTACAAGTGGGCTGTCCAGTAAATATCAGCCAAATTATCGCTATGAATGTGTCTAATACAGAATATTAACTGATTAATTAGACAGTATTTCAAGATCTTGAAAACAGCCGAAAAAAGGGTGACTCGACATTATAAATGCAATTTACTGGAAGCACAAGAACAAATGAGTTATATAAAGAAGTAATAAGCTTTCAAACGTACTGAGATGCGAACAGCCCCCTTTCATAAAAATCCGTCCGTACCGTACTTCTAAAATGTCGGTGTTGTTGTACAGCATGGACAGAGCTGTTTTTATGACTAGACCAAAAAGATCACAGCAGCGATGGCTTAATTTACCTAATTACAGTTAAATGGAAGGAGAACGTAAAGAACAACTTCATCGCGCAGGTGTCCACCATACATGCGGAGATTAAGAACAGTAAGTCGTTCATGTCAGATGAACTGCTTAAGCATAAACCACGCCTTATCCAGCCTACGAGTTCCTCATGTGGAACCGAAACACGCAAAAGTCGACCAGGAGGTCAGACATGAAAATGGAGGAGGAAGAGGGCAGAGGCAATTTTGCCTTCGGAGAAGAATACTTTGTTCAACGATGGTTGGTGTCGCAGACAGCAAAAATGCTGAAAATCTGCGAATACACCAGTCATCACAACCGAAAAACATTCTAGTTTTGCAAATCGATTCGACCTCAACAAAAAATAACCTCACACTTCGAAGATACACTTGGCAAGGACGTCCATTTCCCACAGATAGCTTAGGCAACCAAAAATCATGTCAGCAAACCTAGTTCATTATATAATCAATTACAAAAACCAGCAATCTGTATGAACTGTAATAAACTAGAGCATTTTTGGGTATCTGCCTTCTTTCACTTTCATGACTAGCCATTTTGACGCCCATCTTTTCGTAAAGATATTGTAATGGTGCTAATTTCCACGTCCACCCCATCAGCTAGGAATGCCTTATTTTAACGGTAGAGTCTACAGCCATGTAACAAGCGTAGCGTGCAGTCTTCTATTTTCTTTCCCCAGAGTAGTTCATTTGTCAACTTCGGAAAGAGGAAAGGCAAGTTACCACGAATTAAAATACAAAGAATGCCGAATTACACCGGCCGAACATTAGGTGCCCTAGCACGAACCCAAACTGCTTTAAAATAAGACAAAATTAATGCAATGGAGGATAAAGGATCATGACGTGACGGAAATCATATATAGTTCTCATTTTAATGAAAATCCACCTAAAGCAACACAATATAATGAATAGGATACAAGTTTGTTCGCAAAAAAAACTTAATTTTCATTCTTTATTGGTTAAACTATTGCTTGACGCTGAAATATAGTCGATAAACATGACTGATTATTCAATATTGGCCTAGTACACAAGCCAATTGCGTTCTCGCAGGTGTTTGAACAGATCAATAAATGTAGATAAGTCCGCTTATGGTACGATCTATAATGAAGTAATTTTTAACTTTAAAATGAAGGTAACTTACGCTGAAAAATGTGTTTATACTACGGCTACAAGCAACATGAATGACAGACAATTTGAGACAAAAATTCTAATGATACGTCATGCCACCACTTTTAACTGTGCTTTGATAATACACTTCCAAGCAGAAGTGATATTCAGTTTTGAATAAACATCGTTAATATTTTAGTATGCAAGATAAATTTCAATAATTGGAAAACGTATAATAAAGATATCATTTTACGGTACCGCGAATCCTACTAGAAGACAATCTGATACTCATGTCTTAACAGTTTCAGCACCAAACAAAAGTTTTTACGGTTTCTCTGATATGCGACACATAACAAACGATCTATGGCACG